CGTTGCGCAGGTACTATAGAACAAACAAATATGGCTAGATCGTCGGCAAAGAGTGCATGATGCGGACCAACATTTTCCGCTTAAACGCTATTTATATCTAGCTTGTTTGCTGATCTGGTCCATGAAAACTACGAAGAGAAATGGATAATGGCAAAGAAAATACAACCCTCTCAGAAATCAATGCGGACCTAAAGAATTATCATTTTCCCACCATTAACATGTCGTAAATCTGAGCGGAAATTAACCATTCCTTTCTGAACATGCTGGTGAAAAGGACATGATCGTTTGAATTTGAGGCTTCTGTAAATCGGAAACCAACACATTCCAATAGATACCTTACACCCGACATCAAGTACCCCTCCTGAATAACGTAGGAACGTGGTGAAGAACATAAGTTTACGAGCCCAAGAGACCTGCACTATCACCTCTGGCCTAAACGCAGAAAATCAGCATCTTCATCAATAGTTTCTAAGGAATGGTTACCGATGGAGAACTTTCGACGAAGAACTTTTGCATCCCAGTTCAAATTTAAAGACGGTCAGTTCATTTGGACCACTGGTGATTTTACCGTACATACTACAAGCATATCAACGTATCAGGTACCTTAATGACATGGGATCTAGGGTCTACTACAAGACTGACAGAATATTAAGCGATAATTTGCTTAAAAAGTACTTGCAAATTAACCCGGAAGAAGTGTTAAATGTGGTATATAAAGTACAGTGCCGAGATTGCGACAAGGTGTACACTGGAAAGACCAGCCGGAAATTCAGAAAAAAGAGCACCTTTCTGCACTCGTCCTTAGACAGGCTGGCAGTTCCGGTATTGCCCAGAAAGCGATTAGTGAAGGACATTCTTTCACGCAGTCCAATGTGTCCGTTTAAGACAAAGAACAATTTAAATTAGGTCTGCTGATAAAGGAGTCCTTGCATATACTGGCAATGAAAAAACCGAATGTGCAATGAATACACATCTTTTCTGATTATTTGTGACAACAGGCGGACGATCGCAAAACTGATACGAAAAATCGGGTTAGCACAACCAACAAGTTGATTGTTTTAATGAGAACTTCGCACTGCTGGCTCGACTGTTGCAACTCCGCAGCTTCGACTGTTGGTTAAGATTATGGCTGGTCAGTTAAATAATCTGACTGTAAAGTACCGTTCGTTTCTTGGATATAAGCTCTTTCTAACAGTCATTTGCACTTTGCCTAGCTCTGACGAAACTACGATCTATGTAGTGAAATGCGCCGGCTACAAGAAGTTTAACCACCTGTTGCATTTGGTGCCCTGAACCAAGAATCATTCAAATACCTATTAACATAACTCTGGGCTAAGAATCAAAAGCCTGAAGTATTATCTGAATTAGAAAAACTTGGACCTCAAGGCAAGTACAGCAAAACATAAAACACACGATAGCTAAAAAGGAACCAAACCTGTCGTAAGTTGCATAGCTGTCTTCACTTTTAACGGAGCTGGGAAGAGTACGATTGATCAGAACAGGCCGATCAATGATAGCAATGGATGAGACTTTCTCGGTTTCTGAATGGCAAAGCTGAACAATAGCTGCTTACAACGAATCAGTCAAAAAGTCAAAATATTACATTATTTCATTATAACGTTACTTATTAATTTTTGCACAGAATGTTTTCATCCAATGTTTTCAGTATGTTTCTTAAATGGGCAGGATGAATATAAGATGACTACTCCTGCTAGTACTACTTCATTCTCCAAAAAATGAATCACTTCTCGCTTGCCTACAAAAGAATGGCTGCAATGAACTAACGCGATATAAGTTGCAGGGTATCAACGGCTATTTTAATATTTAACAAGTTGAAAACCAATAGTAAAAGAGTACTGCAAACTTTTCCGGTTCCAAATAACTTCGGAAAGCGGTAGAGAGCGAGAACATCACGACAAAAGACAATTTATTTGAACAAAGCTAAGAAATAAGCCGAGTTGAATATTTAATGACAAAGTTACTTCTCAAAATACGAAATACATTAATGCGAGGCACTTACTCAGTAATTGGGAGCATCGTAAGTCTTGACAAAGCCTTTGATTCAGAGAAATGTCTTCAGGCCTTCAGGTCTTCTGGTTAGTAACTGATATACTCACACTGAACAAATACTGAGAACCACTGC